CACAGGTCGCAAAGCTGTTGGCTGCCGAAAAAAGTCATCTGGTCGAGTTACAGCGTCTGCAGTCAGAGAAAGATGATCTTGATCACCAACTAGAAAACGCCTCTCTCAGATATATGACGGCCGAGCGCAAGATTGACAGGGCAAAAAGTGTAACGGTCGCCAAATTGGAGAAACAGGCTTTATTAGGCGCAATTAAGCCCGCAGCAGAGGATGGTGGCCCAGTCAAAAGAGAAGAAAGCACGCTCAATGGGACAACAGACAATTCTGAAGAGCTGGCGGAGCTGGAAAAGGAGTTGAACAAGACTGTCGCAGCCTCGGAAAAGCAAAAAGAGCAGCTGGACAGGTTGGAGGAAGAAAATGCAAAGCTGACCGCACAGCTGACGGAGCTCCAAACAAAATCGGCGACTCTAACGGATGATGACTATGCCAAAACCGAGTTATTCAAGCAACTGAAATCGCAACTTGAGGATACCATCAAGAAAGTCAATAATCTGGAAGCCACCAACACCGACCTCAAGGAAGAAGCTACTAAGTTGCGATCGGAAAGGACAACATACCAACTTCAGTTAGAAAATGAGCAACGAGTGGCTATAGCAGAAAAGGAATCTCTTTTGGCGGCGTCAGAGACCAATCTGGCCAGAATCCGGCACAGCAGGGATGAGTTACTGGCAGACCAAGCCATTAAGCAAGCTTCTTTGGATCAGAACCAAGAGGCTGTGAAAAAGATTACTGAACTGGCTTCTGCACAAGAAGACCGTATTCGGGCACTGGAGTCTGAAAACGAGCGGCTAACAACTCAAACAAGCGAGATGGCGGTGGAGAGCGCAGAGCTGGATGCTCTGAATGTGGAAGATTTGCGGGCCAGGTACCACGAACTCGACAGGAAGTATAATCTCCTCAATGGTGAGCTCGTGTCCATGTCAACAGCATTCCAAAAGACTTCAAAGATCGCGAGTCAAAAAGTCTCGGAGTTTGCTGCCATGGAGGAGAAAGTCTTGAAGCTATCAATGGACAAGACCAAAGCGGACCAGAAATTCTTTGCCGCAATGAAAAGCAAGGAAACCCAGGCCGGTGAGATCAGGACGTTGCGACTGCAAAACGCCAAATCGGCAGAAGCGATCGCAGCGCTGAAAGAAGCTGAAACCGCCACGCGAGCATTGTTAGCAACGGCAGACAAGCAACTTTCCGAACTGAAGGATGCCCTCGCCCACAAGACCAACGAATATCGAACCATCCAACAACAGAACATCACCCAAGGACTCGAAATCTCCAGATTAAACACCCAAATAACTGAGCTCAAAACCCAAGCTACTGCAAAAGACGCCAAACTCGCCGCCGCAACTAGCGCTTGTCGTGCGGCCGAAGTTGAAGTGGAAGATCTCAAGTCCTCGCTCAAAGACACGCGCCGAAACCTTGAGACCTGGAAATCCAAATCAGGACAGTCCGAGCAATACGAGATATTGAGGCAGTTTGCATACTGTAATATCTGCAAGCGGAATCTGAAAAACACCGTCATCAAGACGTGCGGGCATACATTCTGCAACGACTGTGTTGCTGAACGGCTGACGTTGAGGGCGAGGAAGTGCCCAAATTGCGGGAAGGCATTTGGCGCGAACGATCATATGCGAATCACACTTTGATCCATCCATCCGTCGCTTGATGAGATTGAGAAGTGTTTTTTTTCTGTTCAAAGACAACTGTATCATATCGACATCCAGATCCAAGACCAGGTCCATTGAAAACGACCTTTGGCTTGAGACCTTCGGCATCCGAGCGTACTCAACACGGATTGAGATTAGACTTAAGTGGGCGAGCATGCCCACAATGTAAGTGTACGAATATTGCATCTCACGACATCGAACTTCCCCCGGACGATTGGCCAACAACGGGTGCGTGGTTTTAACCAACGGGCTGAATGCACGCCCGGGACTGTTTGTTGGAAATTCTGTTGCGGAGCTGATCGGGTTTTGGTAGCTGCTCTTTCCGCCGATTGCAAATCCAGAGACTCCTCCTGGGGGAGAACGAGAAGGCGGTGACAGAAGTATGATATGGGTGGAAAAGGCCCGTCCCTTATCCTTTCATTGACGGATTCCTTCTGGTCGTATCTGGCGATGTACCGCTTCTGCCCCTGTCTGAACTCGAGCGCTCTCGGTTCGCTGATACCTATATTGTTCTGCGGGGGTGGACCCGTTTGTGCAAGGCGACCGATTGAGATATAGCTGGCTTCGACACGATGGCTGAGGGAATGGATAGCAGACCAGCAGATACAGCTCATTTCTGGGCGGCGGACGGTTCTCAGAGCTGACCTGAAGTTGTCAGGTAGTGTCGAATCAAGAAGAAAAGACTGCCTTTGAACCCATAAGAAGCCCCGCACAGTGGACAAGATCAGCTTTTGTCGCTCTGGTCCTTGTGCTCGTCATCGTCTGTAAGCGTTCGATCCTTGTTTATCCAGCCTGGTGCTGTGTCTCTTTTCAATCATCTAGATCCATCTCCCCCTCCCGCTTTACATGCACCTGTCCTCCTTCTCCTTTGCCTCTTCGCCCTTCGGCCTCTCCCATCTCTTTATCTTGGTCTCCGGCCTTTCTGGAGACGTCGACTTCGTTTCCAGGTCCTTGTTCATCGTGGTCGGCGCGGTCGTCAACTTCAACATCAACGTCGCCCTCGCCATCACCATCACCTTCGCCTTCGCCCTCTCCCTCTTCCCCTTCTCCATCACCATCACCATCGCCTCCCCCGTCCTCTTTCTCCTCGAACCCCTCAAGCGGCGGGAAATTCAGGTGTTTCCAGTCCTCGATCTCTTCGATGATGCTCTTCAGCCGGTCGCGGATGCTGTCCACCGCGAAGCTTCCCAGCAACAATCTTAGTGGCGGATAGCGGCAGTGGCCGAGCTGCCAGACCAGTTCGGCGGCCTTGACGACCGAGGTGGGTTGGTTGGCACCCATCCACTGCAGAGTCCGTTGGGCGTGGGCGGCGGGGGAGTCTTTGGTCGCATACGGCGATGACGGGCGGGCGACTTTGAAGTGGCCGAAGAGGGCTAGTTTGTTCTGCTTTTGATTATTTTGTTGTTGCTGCTGCTGTTGTTGCGTTTGCTGGGGGATTTGTCCATTGGTGGTGGTCGTGGTAGTCGTCGCGGTCGCGGTGGGTAGATCTGGCTGTGAGGGTGGGAAAATGTCATTGTCGTCCCGGCGCATGTGGGCCGGCTCAACGAGGGTGAGTTTAATGTTGAAGGGATCAACCTCGTACAGCATACTTTCGATCAGGCCCTCTACGGCATACTTGGTCGCACAATATGGTCCCAAGCCAGGGACTCCGAGCGCGCCGCTCGTCGAGCTGAATATCAAATATCTCCCGTCCTGGCGTTCCCGGAAATGGGGCAGCGAAAGTTGGATGATGTTCAATGTGCCCATAAAGTTGGTTTCGAACTGATTGCGAATTTCATGCTCATCCTGGTCTTCACAGGCCCCTATAACGCCGTAGCCAGAGCAGTTTGCGATGACATCCACTCTGCCAAACGTTTTCATGGTCTGCTCAATGACCGAGGCCACGCTGGAACGTATTCGTACGTCACATAACAAGCCCAAATACCGACCGGGTATGTCATGCCATTGCTTCATGCTGGCTAGGTCATCGTGGAAGGATTGGCCGACAGCAGCGACGATGTCGTTGTGGGCAAGGGCAGCCTTGGTCACGGAGCGGCCCATATGTCCTGTTGCGCCGAAAATGAGCCATACTTTCTGTTGTGGAGGATTTGCAGGAGAGGGTGGATCGGTTGTGTATGGTAGAGAGAGTTTGCCGGCACCTGTTGTCGAAGGATGAGGAGATCGACGAGCCGTGCTGGGTGATGCCGAGCGAGTATCATTGGAGTTGGTGCGTTTGAGGTCATCCATCTTGCTGGATGAAAAAGGATGATATTGGGCTGTGGTGGGTCTCTGAAAAGGTTCGTACTACACCGTCGAGGGCATACCAACACAAACCACTGGGGAAGGCCTGAATCGGATCGATACCAAAATCACATAGTACCCTGGACCCGACCGCGAAACCCATTCGAGCAAGACATTTGGAAGACACAGACGTAGCCAATGTAGTTCAGATCAGTCGCTGACTGTTCAGGAACACGCCGCTCGACACCTTTGCCTCCACAGCCGACCTCCTGCGGCGATACTGTTTTGAGCACGGAAGGAAGCTGATGCAGAGGTCTAGTCTGCAGATTTCTCAGAGGTATTTGAGCGGGACTGGGAGTAGGTAAGCATATGTCTCAATCACAGTGGTCAGAAAGATCAGTTGTCGAAGCCCTGATAGGCACGAAGCGGGAGAATAATGTGGGACCTTAGGAGTCGTCGAAGGTGCTTACCGGGTACCTCAGGTAGCTGCGCATCAGAAGGATTCGGGTGGCATTCCTTCAGTCGATAGCGAGACCCCAGTCTTTGACGCCAATAGCTCAATCGTATCTATAGAGACTAGCCATGGCTCGATTCCTCCCAGGGTCGATATAATGTCCAAATCCAGACGAAGCGCTAATGTGACAGAGGTAGGGAAAATGGTTTGGTCGTGATGTTTCGCTTGAAGTGGTATTTGAGTTGAGATGTCAGCAGCAGTGGCGGTGGGTACAGAGCAAAATATGTGATGGGTTGTACAAAGTAGTAGAAGTGAGAAATGCCGTCTGCGAGCCTATGAAGTCGGGCTTAATGGTGGTGACGGCGATCCCTTCTTTTACAGTTTCGCAAATCCCCACCAAAGGTCCAAAGTCATGGGGCACCACCGACGCCGCCCATGGCGCAAGAGGCTCGCGTTGCCCGATCTGACCAAAGACAAAAAGATTCTTCTCAACGTGCAATTGCCATCAGGATTGTAGGATTTGGCTGCAGAAAATATTTAAACCCCGAGGTTCCTCCTCTCCATCCGCCGTTGAATCATTGCTACCCCTCCTCTACATAGCCATATCGTCCTAATTGTTGTGCAATTTCAACACTCATCTTGAACCCTTGTTACTCACAGCCACCATGAAGGCATATTGGTACGATAATAAAGAAGTGCGTCAACTTCCCCGCGCAATTTCGGTCTTTTCCCCAATGCTAACTGCTCTCACCAGGGTGACCAGCGCCTCGCGCATGATTCGGGCCGCACAGTTGATCCCTCTTACCTCGCCCAAATCGGCGTCCTGTACCACCACTGCCCTGAGCTCTCCTCGGTCGACGCTATTGCAAAAGAAAGACACTATAAAAACCGCGATGAGATCACCGTGTCTCCGCAAGCCATGGGCGATGTCTATGAAGACAAGGTGAAAATGTTCTTTGACGAGCATTTGCATGAAGACGAGGAGATTCGCTATATTCGGGACGGCGCAGGTTATTTCGATGTTAGATCAAAGGATGACGACTGGGTCAGAATTCGACTCGAGAAGGATGATCTCATTATTCTGCCTGCGGGTATCTACCACCGGTTCACCACTGATGAGGCAAATGTGAGTAGACTGGAACATCCTACAAGATTGTGATATGATGTGGACAGCGACACTGACGGGAGTTATAGTACATCAAAGCAATGCGGTTGTTCCAGGACGAGCCCAAATGGAAACCATTAAACCGCGGTGCGGACACGGACCTCAACGAGCACCGTAAGAACTACCTGCACACCAGAGATGGCATTTCTGTGGCATAACGGTTGGTTGAAGGGAGGGAGGTGTGACCTCTGAATCATCGAGTTTTACGGGCATCACTCGACCAAGACCAAACCGTTGCCACGATATAATAGCATGAGTTCTAAAAATTGATGAAAACGACTTTGCATGAACACATTCTTTTTTTCTTTTGACAAGAATCGGCGACCAGTCTGGGATGCATACACCCATTTCCACACTGGGTTTTGCAGTGTCGCAGACACTGGTATAATGTTGTATTGCAGATATCCATCTTAGTAACGAGCGGAATTTTGCAGATCTCGCCGTTCTGTGCCGCAGGAAACAGATGATTAACCGTAAGGGGGCAAATGTCTAGTAGTATTCTAGTGGTCGGGCGAAGTAGCATTCTTGCAAGGCTGACGTTGGATCCCGGGCCGGACACCATTGGTAACACGCCGGAAAGACTGGATAAGTAGTAACAGCGTTGCCGGTTGGGTAGTTTGACAAAAATAAGGCTTTGGCTTCCTGGGCCGTCTCTTGCTTATAGTAGCACGCGGAAGAGTGTCTCTGCACAACTGCTCATTCTGGGAACCAAGTCTGAACCGAGAAATTTCGATGGTCGGCAGATGGTGCCGCAGCGCTTAGTAACGGGGAGAATCGTCCGAAGGTAAATTATTAGGTGGTGGCGGCCAAAGCTGGGGATGGGGAGATTAATGCCTCGAGGCTGTAGATGGGTGAAGAAGGGCGATTAGGAGGAAATAATAACATACATACATGTACGTGTAGTGAGGGATAAGTTCGTGGGCGCGGGGTTGGATAGACGAGGGCGCAGGAGTCATTCTCCCACCATTTCAACCGACCAGCCCTACAAGTCAATCAAGTGCAAGTAATATCTCTACTCCATACAAGTGCCCGATCAGAAAATGGAGTGCCTGAGTCGATCAGACCATTTTCCTGCTTCAGTTACGCCTGGACGTTTCGCGTTCTGGAGGCCAATAATGAGAGGCCAGTGCCTAAGCAAGTGTCTCGTCTGCCATGCAAGCCCTGTTAGTTGCTAACTTTTGCTTAGGCATACCTGCACGCACTTGCATGGGTGCCACCAATGCCTATTAGCCGATCGCTGTTAGTTCTGCTTGCATTACTCGTGCAAGCTGGTCACCCGGCGCCTGTACCTGTAGTTTTCGTCTGCGCGCAGACCACACACACGCACACACACATGCAGCCTCAGCTCTTGTATCAGAAAAGCCAAACCAGTCAATTTGGTAACATCAAGCCCACTTACGGCACCTGTTTCCGCCCCTCCTCTCCAGGATTCCCAGGCCCGCAGAAACCTTCTGTCAGTTCCTTAAAGGCTCCGGTCTTCCAGACTGGCGGACTTTCTTTCCAGCCTACTGCTGACACATCGTCCATCTATCACTTCACCGTTTTGAGATTCTTATTGAATCCTTCTAGAATTCCTGACCATACTCTTACACATCCACTGAAACACCTCAACAGCGTCAGCTTTGTTCGCGCCACCGACAGAGACGAGGTACTTGACTGTCTTCGTATTTTTTGATCCTGGTCTCGCTGCGACCCCGCGTTTTGGATGCTCCGAACCACTACGCACAATACGCTGCTTACTCGACGGGCGGCCGCAAAGTGACAGGCGTCGGTGAGAAGCGTTAGATGAGCAAGACCACTGCAAAATGGCGTGTAACGCCTCCACGAGTCAGTTTATGTTTGTCGAGTACTCGAAGCCCGTCGAACCGGTCAAGGGCCAGAAGAAGCGCCGTGGCGGTCCCAGTGAAGTCCGCGCGGTAAGAAACCGTCTCACTCAGAAATCCGAAGCTGTCCAGTACTCGGTAGAATGTGAAAGAAGGCGTCTTTCTACTCAACTGCTTTGTGGGAATCGGCTCTTGACGGTGGCCTTGCTGACGATCAAGTGTAGCACATCACCAAGAATTACCACCGAGCGCTGAGAGTCAAGCGCCTCGAGGCGCTCAAAAAGGGACCAGATGGCACTCCAGTCGAGAAATCAAAATCAGAGCCTCGCGAAATTCCTGCGGGGGGTACGACGGAAGGAGATGAAGAGCATTGGGAGAAGGGTGGAGGAGGTGAACCATCGTCGCGCGAACCGTTATGTCCTTCCTCGACTCCTCTCGGGGAGGATGACTACAAGGACATCGCTCTCCAGCTAAACAGCGCTCACCGTCTTCAATCTGCCCTCGGCGAGGGTCGAGTCGATCCCTTCGACGCTTTCCCAGTTCAGGGCGTGCCCCTCTTCATTCATCAAGTTCTCGACCACGTATGTACTGTCCTCTCCAGCCAGAACCCCCGAGCTCCGAGTTGCTATCTAGGGAGGGCGACTCCCATCTGAATCGCATCGATTACTGACAGAGTTGTCTTGACGTTCGCTCATAACAGGCCTTGTCCTACTCCTGGCCCAACACCGTTCCAGTCAAACGTTCTCTTTCCAATATGCACCCCGTCAAGGCCGCCTGGTTGAAGTGCGGTATGGAACATCCTGTAGCATTCCACGCCTTTGTCTACGCAGCGTCGTTTCACGTCCTATGTGCATACAACGGGCGGGAGATCAGCGACTCGGCCCCGCTCCTCCGGCTGTCGCACAAGGTCGAAACGATCAAGCTCGTAAACGAGCACTTGCGATCGCTCAGCCTTTCTTCCTCATCCCCGGCCTCCTCCAAACGAAAGGGACGAGACCACAACAACGCATCGAGAGAAAACAGAACCGCGAACGAAGCCGTTGCGACGACAACGGTCCCCACCGATGCGCTGGTCATGGCCGTGACCATCATGAGCATTCACAACGCCAGGGACGACACCGTCTACCCAAAAGTCCACCCTGTGTCGCCTATGGCCAAAGTCAACAATCTCCACGTCTACGGCGCCATGATCAATGATGAAAAGCATATCCAGGGCATATTGCTCCTGGTCAGTCAGAAAGGAGGATTGGAAGGCCTGGAGTTGTACGGGTTGGCCGATACAATGCAATTGTAGGTTCAGACTGACTTCTTTGTCTACCATATACCTCGGTCCCGGACGCGAAAAGGGGACTGGTGATTCTGACATGTCAATCACAGGTGTGATTTGTATTTTGCTTCAAAATACGTGTGCAGCCCGAATTTCCCGTGGCGTCTGCCCACAAAATCACTCGTCTCGACCGGAAAACATTCACTCGACCCCGTGGCGATTGACTTGGATTCCAAACTCGGCGCAGGTTTTCGGTATCTACGTCAAAGTCCGGCCGGCCGACAACTGCTCGACATATTGGATACGTACTCTGAGGTTACCGTGGCCCTAGATCACCATGTACGCGGCGGTTCCACTGCCCCGGAACTCGCGGAGCTCACAGAAGTTCGCAACTGGGCGCAGCATCGACTACTATCTCAGATGCCGGGTTCGTTGGATTTTTCGAACCCCGAACTGTGCGTTCATCATGCCGTGCGACTAGGGGCGTTGGTTTTCAGCGAAATGGTCATCTTTCCCCTACCTCCTCCACAAAAAGTGAAACCCAGGCTTGCTCTCATGCTGCAACAAACTCTCGATGCCTGTGACATTCTTGGCTGTTGGGACCTGCACGGCCAGGTCTTGCTGTGGTGTCTCACGCTGGGAGCAATCGCATCAAATTTCACCCCCCATCGACCCTGGTATATCGAGCAGCTGTTGCAGCAGATTCTACTCTTACAGATCCCAGACTCGTCTATTCTGGAAGTGATATGCTCCAGATTCTTGTGGTGGAAGCCGATTTGCAGTGAGCCACTCCAATGGCTCTGGGATGAAATGTTCCCGCCAAGCTCAATAGAAGCCACTTGAGAGGATTACATGCTGAAGTGATAACCTGCCATTATTGGACTTGCGCCGCGCCACGTCAAGTGCTCGAACGAAGAATAATCGAGTTGAGTTCTTGGCTCTGACAAGGCACGACCCCGACGCTGCGCAAGAACGACTGCCCGACTCTTTCTCACGAAGCCGGAAGAGCCCCAGGCATGACGCGCAGAGGTTGAGGAGTTCGAGCATCGTCTTCCTGTTCGATGACTTGACTGTCAGCACGATTGTGACCAGTACGCCATCTAAGGCCCTCGAAGATTCTCTCCGTTTCTTCTTGAGAGGGAAAGTGGTCATCCGGCTTCGACTCTTTGCGAGGGTCAACGAATGAAAAGGATCGACGGTCGTCCTGGGTCGGGGGTCGTTCGTCATCTTGGCCTTCTCTCACCCTGGTCTTGCCCAACCGTGGCCACAAGCCGGGCAAAGGAACCACCTGCACTCTTGGCTCGACAACCCTCTCCTCGAACCAGGCTTGTGCTCTGGCTTCCACCAGCTGAGCAATCTTCGGCACATCCTGCAAGCGCGTGCGGGATCCGATCAGGCTTCGAACAGAAATATCGAGCCGATAGTCGGGGAGGAATGAAAAGGCGAGATTAGTTTTGGGCTTACCCGACGAAGCATGTTTGTTCCCTCCGGAGGGGTCGTCCTCTGTAGCAGGGACAAAACTTATGGAGAGAGTGCCAGAAAATCTCACAACCGAGACTGAGAGGGCAACTGGCAGAACCGCAGACAGGGGCTTGGGGTAGTTGAGAATGAGGGCTGTCTCGATAGCTAGGGTGAGATTGTCGTCGGACAGATCGACATCCATCAGCGCTTGCAGCCTCCCGCCGGTGGCGCTTGACAGATCGTCGTCGACGGCGATGACACGGACATTGCTGAAAATGGGAAACTCCTCGCCCATGGAGATCTCGGTAATCTTGATGTTGTCTATGTAGGACGGTCTCTTTTCCGGATCATTGATGGCCGCCTCTAAGCTTGTCAGAATGGCCGAAGAGCTACCCGACCCGTCCCGTAGATTGTACACCGTCTGGCGATACTGCGCAATCGTCTGCGCCAGCAGCACGTTGAACCAGTCCAGGCTCTCGGGCTGGTGCGTCGAGTGATGATGATTATGGTGTTGTTGGTGCTTGCCGTGCGCCCCGTGCCCGGCGGCCTGACCCCTGCTGGGCATCTGGTAGTACGTCTTTCGCAGGATCGACGCGATGTCCGTGGCGTTGGTCGGCACGGGGCGCAGGATGTTGGTCGCGCTGGCCTTTGTCCGCAGGGACTGGGGCGCGGGGGATTTGGACGACGCGAGGCCATGGAGAGACGTGGTCCGCACGTGTTTCGGGGAGGCTGGTTGTTGTTGTTGTTGCTGTGGTGTTCGACGAGATGTCCGCGAGGATGATGTAGAGGAGGACGAGTGAGGCGGCGGAGAGGGCGCTTCGCCAAAGATGAAGAATTTTATAAAACACCCGATAAACAGCACCACGGAGAGCTGGCCCAGGAGGAAGCCCTGGGTGAAGGTCAAGGACATGACGGTCAGCTAACGCTTGGTAACGGCAATGGTGACGAAGAAGGTGGTGGTGATCGTGATCGTGATCAAGAAGAGGAGGGAGTGGTGGTATGACTTTAGGTATCCATCACTGCGGAACAGGGTCTCTGCTATATCCCCAGAGCTGGTCTTGGACTTGGACCATCGTGCGCGCCGTTACATTTGCTGTTGGCGTAGGATGGGCAATGTATGTAAACCATCTTTTTACATGACAGCTGCTTTTCCTCCAAGGTGAGGTCAAGCGCATGTGCGGAGCGTTGGTGCGGAGAATGTCTGATTGCGCGCCACGAGATGTGGTTCACCGCAATGCATTGTACGGTCGGTTATAGGGGACGTCGTGTATGACGTTCTGCAAATGTGCTTGTAACAACGAGTAAGGAAGGATTGTTGTGCCTGGATACCCAGTATGGGCTTGTTCGCCTTTATATCTATCTAATTGGAATGATGATATCCTCAACTGCCTTCTGCAAATTCCAGCATCAACGAGGAATGAGGAATTGAGAGTCTAGAAGTGTCCATCTATGTGGACGCCAAATAGTTACAGATACATAATGCTAGGCTGCACAGAGGCTGCACAACATCACTCCGAGGTACCGCCTTTCGTCTTCCCGTTGACTTTATAGTAGTCTCTCAACAAAAACACAATGCTGACGCACAGTCCAAGGCCAGCACACCCGATTCCAAGATACCATGCTCCACGGTACCCGAGCAGAAGGTCATGTGGCGTGCGTCCACCATGGTTGACATGCACTTCCACAGTCCCCGCGAAGCCCAATCCCAGAGAGATGCTGTAGTTGACGATTGTTGTGACGAGACTGGCCGCAATACCTTGGTGTTCTTTCCGCACTGCGTTGGAAAGAATGATTGTCGCCGCAGGAAAAGACATGTCCATGCCCCAGGGAATGACCACCAGTCCGACAAAAGTCTGGGCCCAGTATGTTTGGTGGACAGGGGTGGTGGCCACCAGGATGTGCCCAACTGTAAACCATGTGAGCGCAATTGTCATGACCATTGCTGGCCGAAGTTTAGACAAGAGAAACCCGGTGACAACAGAGGCAATGGCACCAGAGACGGCAACGGGACTCATATACGCCACGGCCAGCAACGGTGATGCGCCTCGCAAGATTTCCAGAAAATTGACCAGATAGAAAAACCAGATTCCTAGATTCCCACTTGTCAGTATGTAGAGATGCGTGCCCTGGGGACTAGTCCGTACCAAATGATGCCCAGCCACAGACGATACATGAAAGCACAAATCCAACATCTGCCGTCAGTGCGTCGAAAGGCACAAGCGGCGTTTTCGAGACTCGAAGCTCAATATAGAAAAACAGGGGCACCAGCAGGATTCCGAGGAGCATTGTCACGTAGACGTATGCTTTCTGCCAACCCACAATTGGTGCCTGGTTCCATGCGAAATTGAACAGCACTAGAGCCGTGATGCCCACCACGGCGCCAGGCAGATCAAGGAGCTTGATTTTATCCCAGAGAGACAACCCGGCAAACTGATTCCTTGGCTGCGCATCGGGGACGACAAAGTAAGACACCATTGCAAGCATAGCGAGAGCAATGGCAAAAGAGAAGAATGCCCAGGGCCACCATGTCAAAGCGAAAACACCCGCGAAGGCACAGCCAATGAGCGAGCCACCTAAGCATGGTGAGTTAGTACCACGAACAAAGTCGATCGATCGAAAGGTGCTAACTAACCGGGGGCGCAGGCACCAAACAGTGCAAAGACCATGTCTTTCCGAGGACTCCCAGGCGCATAACTTGCACCAAGTAGAGCCACCGCGTTCGGGAGGAGAATAGCAGGCCCAATCCCCTGGAATACCCGAGCGAAAATGAACAATACATGATTTGAGTAGATAGCTACACCTGCGATCATTGACCATACCGAGAACCAGGCATACCCTATGATCAGCATTCGTTTGTAACCAAACATGTCTCCCAATCTGCCGCTAACAAGGATGAATGTCCCAACGGTCAAGCTGTATCCAGCAATCAGCCATGTCAATTCGCTGGGGTCGGTAAGATTGAAACTTCGTGCTATATCTCGGATGATAATGAGTGCTTGGCCGAGGCCGGCTTGCGTGGTGATCTGTGCTGTGCATATAATGCCCACGAAGAGAATCTCACGCGGTAGAGAAAGTGACTCCGCAATGTGTCTGCTGCTTTGGCGTGATATACCGTCGCCGATAGTGATCTCTTTTTCAAGGGGGTCCTGTAAAGTCTCTGCATCTCGTGCTTCCAGGTCAAGCGACGAACGCTGGAGGGTGTATTGCGAAACTTCGGCAGTCATCCTCCCAGTACATGTAAGCTCCAAACAAGAAAAGATACTGGTCGTCCTCCAAATGTTTCATGATTCTGTACAGCAGATTCGTCATTTATATGTGAGGATGAGATAGCCGTGGGGCTCATTTCCGAGCCATCGTGGCGGCGCATCGTATCCTGTGTCGGGGATAATGATCGTGCTCTCAATGCAGGGTCTGAGAACTCGGACTGTACAAATAGTTCTACCTCTGAGAACTGTGGAGATGCCGCCGGGCATGCATCCAGACAGAAAATAGGTCAGACCAAGTGATGGACGCTTCTTGCCCCAGCATTCAGCCCAGAACCTCTGTCAGACCCCCCGATTTTACCGACAGGGCGGCCCAGCAACGAGATTGTGGAGCGAGGATCTCACACACCAGCCTCGCATGGAGATACTTTCAATTGCATCCGAGTGGAACTGGAGTCTCGATAAGGAAATATCCTTGCATCTTGCGGAGGTTCGGAGCGTCGCGAGCCTCCGGTATCTGGGGGCCTGGACAGGAATGGGATTATTCAGCGAACGGTCATGTTCCGCAATCTTGGTGACAACGACCCCTTTCTATTGTTCAGATACTCGGTACAAGTTTGCGCCTGTCTACTCAATTCATTGGGGACTTGAGATCCTCAACATGATTTTGTAACAACCTCGTTATATCTAGCAGAGTTTCTGTCCTCGAGAGGCTCCGAAGCGTATGCACTAGGACAGTGGGAATCCTGCATACCTAGAGTATTTTGTTCACCTGTCCAGTGATTGCTCCTGTCCAACCTTTGACACATTCTAGTCCTATTGGATCAAACTCCTCCGCCTCTTGATGGTTCCTGCAACCTTTTGGTCCCTCTTCGTAAATTTTGGGCGCTAACTGACGTTGATATCTGGGATGCGTACCGATACGACGCACAATGACTGAGTCACCTACGTTGATATCCATTCATGCTGGTGATAGTGTTCCAGAGCTAGCCTGCTTCTGTAAATCTTTGTTTCTTTGGCCATCAATAATGTCTTGATCCACATCCAGTACGACTACGGCCGTATAGGACGGCCGTCACGGACTTCTGTCACGGCCTTGTGGGTAGCTGAAGGGCACATACGAGGAAAATCCATCTCGAAAGGCAGGACGTTATCTGCAATTCTGACCATAATTCGGATTTGGACTTGGGACAGCTGATGTTCATCTGCTCCAGTGCACGTTCTCATGTTGGCCAATAGTTGGCAATGCCGAAACATACAAAATAACTCGAGTTCTCAGTACCAGCCGAAAAACTTTCATCAGAGCAGTCAGTTTGATGTGGTGCTGTCCATGCCGGAACGGTTCCACCGGGATGCGAGGCCTCAAGAAGGCTGGGAAGAGGATAAAGCAGAGTGCTGCTGTCTTGTTGACTCTGGGTCAATACAGCCACCAAGGCCAGCTCACGTATGACTGCGACCTCTGAATTGCTGCATGCTGCTATTCTCCTTGAGTGGCACACGATTCTTCTGCCAAATTCGAGGCGAGGGTGCTCTTCACTGGTCGCTAAGTCTTGAACTGCCTACTCGGGGAAATGATACGACTCTTTATCAATGGGGCATAGCATGGAATTGAAGCGAAACAAAGTTCAAACAGTTTGTGGTCAAATGAGAATTGACCACTTCAGCCTCGCAGAAGTACAATGACGTCACACATCCATTGCACGCGTCGTGACTTCTGAAATCCTACAAAGGAGGCTGACGAGCTGAATTCTCCCCAACATTGTCCTTTGCTTGGAGTGTCCCTTGGTCTCTTACAGCATTCGCAGAAGAATACCTCTCATGATGTGCAGATAACAAAAAGGGTTTGTCAGGGAGATGGTGTGTGATGTTCCCGGATCTCGAGGGAGACACTGCTAACAAAGCCAGGCCTCACTTCTCCGCCAGATAGTTGCAGGCCCCCGTGCCAGACATCCAGAAGCAGGCCTCGACCTGTGTTACGTGACAGACTACAGTACGTTGCAAACTGGACTTGTAAAAGAGGGAATTTTTTGCTGATGCCCGTCAGTTGTCGTCACTTCAGGACCCAGCTCTGTATGGCCTAGAAAAGCCTACCGAAACCCCTTAGACCAGCTGGTCGCCTTCCTCGACCGGAAACATGGCGAGGATTGGGCTATTTTCGAGTTTCGAGCCGAAGGCACAGGATATCCTGATTCCGAGGTCTACAACCGAATCCACCACTTCCCATTCCCAGACCACCACCCTCCTCCCTTCGCCATCATTCCGAACGTCATGGCTGCAATGCGCAATTGGATCCAGCGAGTAGACGAAGATGCGGACACAAATAAGGATAAAGACAAGAAGAGAGTTGCTGTGATACACTGCAAAGCGGGCAAAGGCAGAAGCGGGACGGTCGCGTGCTCATATCTGATCAGCGAGGAAGGGTGGAAGAAAGAGGAAGCGCTCCAGCGATTCACCATCAGACGTATGCGGCCTGGGTTTGGCGTTGGCGTCAGCATCCCGAGTCAGTTGCGTTGGGTTGGTTACGTGGATCGGTGGGCAAACAGTCTCGGCAAACGATACATCGAAAGACCTGTAGAGGTTGTCGAGATCCATATCGAGGGCCTTAGAGACGGAGTCAAAGCTACAATAGAGGGCTACGTGGATAATGGCCGTCGCATTCGAACGTTTCATACCTTCAGTCGGCAAGAGAAGACTGTGGTGGAGGAGACCAACGCCAAACAATCAAAACCTGTTTCGGAGGGGAAAAAAGACAGCGAAATCCTTAGCACACCGCAGAACGCGTCTCCACAATCATCTTCGTTGAGCCTGAGCAAAAACTCTTCGGGTTCAACTCAAAACGTCATCCTGAAACCATCTTCGCCAGTGATTTTGCCAACCAGCGACATAAACATCGACTTTGAACGACGAAACAAAGCAGGGTACACGGGACTTACGATGGTTACGGCCATTGCACATGTTTGGTTCAACGCATACTTTGAAGGAGGCCACGAAGGGCACAATTCAGGTGTCTTTGAGATTGACTGGGAGGCGATGGACGGTATCAAAGGGAGTTCCAGAAAGGGTACCAGAGCCCTCGACAAATTGAAAGTCGTTTGGCAGTACACTAAGCAAGAAGGAGACGGTGCTCCTGTCGAGCGAGTTATTACAGAACCTCAAAAGGGCGAACCAGTTCCCGAGAGCCAACCAGCAAATTGGCAGGGTGAAAGCGACGAAGAGGTGCAACCAGCCGATGGCGTCGATAGCGGCCGAAAGGGAGGTGCTCCCCTCACCATGAGCGCTATGGTCAGTCAAGGAGCGAGTACCTTGGGCAAAGAACTTGGCCTCAGAAAGTCCCGTGCCGACAGTGCGGATGTAAGTCGTGCGTCAAGTGTCAAGGGCGGATGCACAACTTCGGACATGGGCACCGCTGCGCAACGAGTCGAGGATTCAGAAGAACAAGGTGTGAAGCAATCTGGTCCACAAGGCGAAGCCCTTTCATACGACGGCACGTCGGACCCGGAGGGTGGAAGCAGACAAGACACGAAAACTGGTCATGTAATGGAGGCTGGATTGGCCAAGGTTGCTCACGTGATCTCAAAGATGAAGCCGTCAGAGGACAAGGCTGCGAAAAAGGGAGATGAAGTCGCCGACCACCAGGCGGACAAGGGGGATTCATTATGATTTTACGATATAAAGGCATTGATACCCTTTGCAAAGCGGGTCAACATTGCATGGTGTTTGACATGTACAGTGGATAGAACGGTTGTGTTTGTTTCGTCCTTGGATTGTTATGGCGCCTACTTTGCAAATGATCAACAGCGTCGTTCGAAGCGTTTTCATGTGAAAGCGCGGTTTGTCGATTTGTTTAACGACCAAGCGCACAAATATGCAGATGGACTACTAGAGTGCGCGATTGCTCTTGCAGACCTAATGTCTTTGTTGTCTGCATCAAACTCTCGCAAGCTCCCGCGCCTGTCCTGTCCATACGACTCTGAATATTCAGAACATTCTCAAGTGAGAAAACAGCATCATCATGGAGAAGAACAACGCCGCCAGGACGCCAACAGGGCCCTCCAGTCCCACGGATTCCGACCACCCCCCGAGCCAGCCAGATTCATCCACTCCGCCTCCACCACCGTACGTGCAACCGATCCCCATCCCTCCCCGCCCTTTAGCGGCGACCGAATACCCATGGACAGCGAGCTTGCCGTTTCGGGGCTGTCCACAACCCTCCACGATGTCAATGTACATCCCATCCGTGAAGCATGTGGCACGGCAGGAGAAGGATGAAAAGGATGAGGAGATTGAGGAGGAGGCCGCCGCCGCCGCCGCCGCCATCAAGCCACAGCGCGAGGACGTGCCGGATGTTATTCAGAAGGGCTTCCATCCCAGCTTTGTGCACAGACCGCCGACGCCGAAGCCCGTGTACGCGGATTTTGGCGGGCGCTGGGTTTGTAAGGACGAGAATGACGATAGTTCCGGCGATGAGAGGTAGGGGGACTCTGGGGGAAACTGAGAAGTGGAGGGGATGGGAGGGGAGTGCTGGAGTAATGGCTGTGAGAAAAGAATCGACTCGCTTTGGGGTGTGGTAATGCGTTATCGACAGTGGCAGTGGCGATGGTGATGGCGACGGTGGAAGATTCATGGTTGAATAGTGATGGACACGTCTTGTGCACGACTCCCTCTCCAAATACAAACCGGTGAATGAGACTAGGTTGCCAAGTCTCAATGAAAAGCGGAAACCCCCCACCCATCTAGCCCTTCCTCTCAACTAACTGCTGGGAATTCTCGCATGGTTCATGTTTAATCTGTCCGTGTCCGTGGAAGCTCCCTCGCCTGATCACCGTCCTCCGCCTCCTCTTGCGCACCCTGCGAACGCCCGTCTCGAGGGAGAGGGTATCATCGGCGGATATGGGAACGTTGCCCAGAACCCGAGGGGTCTCTTTTGCTTGGAACAGGCCCAGCAAGCCCGCAGGGCGTTTCCAGATGCCGACCCCGTCCAGCATGTCCGGGTCGGAGTTGTGCAGGTTCAGCAGCACGGAGCACTTGCTGTTGTGGACGAAGCCGTGGAGACAGAGCGGCTGGAGAGCGTCGGCGAAGGCCAGGGGTTCCTCGATGTGTAGTTGGCGGTACGTGGGCATCAGGAGATGGAAGACCGGGTCCTTGCCCCATTCCCCGGATCGGGCGAAGAGGGCACGTAGATATCGCATCCAGATGCACAGCGTGTCGAGGTTCTCGGCCATGCCGAAGAAGTTGTTGGCCATCGGCTTCTTCTCCACCAACCGGCAGAAATAGGGGTGCCAGTCCGTGTCCGGGTGGTAGACGAAGTAGAGGTGCTTTTTGCCGGATTTGGCGGTGCTCTTGGTCATCATGTCGATGTAGCCGTGGACGTGGACGGCGAACTTTTCGGGAGCGTCCAGCCGCGTCTGCGCCTCGAGCTCTCGTCGTATCCCCCGGAGCTCGGCGATGATTTGCTGCCCCTGGAAGACCTGGATGATCTGGGCGGGCGCGCCTGCGGCGATGAAAAATCCCTGAAACCCGGCCAGGTATTTCGCATGGGATGCCAGGATTTTCACGGCCGGCATGGCCTTTTGCACGGCGTTTGCTATCTTTTCGGCTTTGTTGACTAGCCCTGGGATCTCGTTGAGGGATTTACTGACTGCGTCCAGAGTGCTGATCATGGTTTCTTCCACTCGCCGTGACTGATTTGGCGGCTCTGGCAGACTGGAGTTCTGGCCCATATTGAGAGTACAGAGCACAAATAGCTCCGGTTTGCACAGCGTTCTCAGATGATATGGGGACGTTTGAGGTGCTGTCGCGGTGCAAAGTGTGAGACCTCCTCTATATCGTCGGGGTTATGCAGGCAGTGTCGCTGGGATGTACGTGTCGTTTAGTGGTCATTCAGCCTATCGATGAGCGTTTCGTACAGCAATGGACATGCAGCCTGTTCGATGGAGGGCAAACTGGAGTTGATCGCGAGTTACCGGGGTTCTGGGTAGGAAGTCAGTAAGTAGAATATGACAATATGAGAAGTGTTCTCTCAAGTGACGACTAGATAGAGCCAGTCGGAGCACACATTGAAACGTGGCGCGCGTGTTTGTAGGGCAAGTGGATGCTGTCACCTCTCGTGTGCGTATTTCATTGAACACAGCCCTCCAGCATCTGCTTTTCTCTGACTTGGTTTTGATAGGCGCTTTGGAAGTCATTCGCCCGCGACTGGGGATCATGTAATTGGTGCTTTGAACTGCCCGCGCATCTTGGAGCTTGTAGCCCTGCCAGTTGACGTGGCAGGCTCCCATCTGGTGTGGCTGCGGTCCTCGTCTGGAATGAAGCCTGCGCCCTGACAAGCATCGTTGTCAAATGAGGCGGCCATAATCCATCATTACCTCTACCAATCACTCTACCTTCGTTCAAATCGAGACTCTTAGGCCAAAGAAGACGATGGTGCGGATGCCTCAAGTGCTGCGATTTCGCTGGAGCTAAGTAGTGTTGTACGATATCAAGTCATGATAGATCCAGGGCAAAAGTAGGCAGGGAAAGGACCTTTGACTGCTTGAATCACGTGCAAGCATTGTTCTCAGCTGCGCTTTTGATGCTGTAGTATACCACCCATCGACATCCATCTCAATTTCAAAACAAAGACCTTTGCTAAGGCCAAACGATGGTCCGTTCCGCTGTCGTAATTCCCCTTCCCCGGCAAGTCAAAATATCTCCGGGCGACTAGCTATGCTCGAAACATGCTTATCAACAACTAAAGGAGTCGCTAGTGACACTAGTCAATAAGGCGTCCCACTGGCCGTTGCACAGACACATTATCACAATGAACAACGCGACGTTCTCCTGGCGACAAGCCAACCTCCAACTTGAGCGGCAATTGAAAGTCACAAATAATGCGAGTCGATGACTTTTCACAAGCCATATTCAAGTATATCACCCAGGCCTGGTGAGCGCCGCTGAAGCTCGAGGCTGTCCACAAACAGCGAGGCGGTGACCGCTCGACGATTTAGCATCCGGAAGGACTGACAGATAATGGCTGAAATCATAGAGGACTCCTCTGGCATACCCAGATCCCAACAGAATGAGCAGCCCGAAGGCTCCAGCGCTGCTGCTGCTCCCGCCACTGTGCGCTTTGCCCCGTCCAACGAGGAGCCGGATGAACCAGAGTCCCTCAATGAGCCGCCTCTGATTCAGGACCTCAAGGGTACATCCGAGTACCTTGGCAGCACATTGAGTCCGCAAACATCCAAGTCATCCAGATCGATCAAGCTGGAGCCGCCACCGGTGGTGATGAGACCGCCCAAGGTCAAGTATGAGGGTTTCAGCTCCACGGCGCTGTCGTGGTTCGCATGGAACCGCAACGAGGAGAAAGACCTGCCCGACTGCGCGAGATCCATGCGCCGCTCCTACTCTTACCGATCCACGTTCCGCCTTTTCGGGTTCAGCTTGACCAGTGCTGTCAGCTACAAGACATCGGCGACCGGCATTGATGCCGCTATGCACAATGTTCGTGTGGTGAGTATCTGGAATCCTCCTCCCCCCCCTCCGTGGACAACTCTCGCAGTGTATGTTGGGATTGCTGACGTATGGACCTGGTTCCATCACATTTAGGGATGGGGAAAGTCGGAAACGAGCTGGGTCCGCGACAGACTGCCCCAGGCGCGGCAGCGATTCGGGCTCTCTGGGAACAGGCAGCCAGAATCGCCTGACGAAGAGGCGCAGGACGCGGCGGACCAAGAAGACCGCAGCAGCACCACGGCGGCGGTCGAAGGGCAAAATCCCAAGCGAGAACCCAGACAGACGATCCCGCGCATCGCGCACCCGTGGCACCTCGACTACTACTACATCGTCGTAGGCATCATGGGCGACGAGATCGCGCCCAAGGAGACCCTCCGGAGAGTGATGGAGATCGACGGGCTGTTCCAGCAGATCCGCAAGGCGCACAGGTACCTGCGGAACCCTATCCGGAGGGCGCTTTCCTTGAAAGAAGTCTCGGGCTTCGGCATCTACCAGTGCGACCCGCGTAAGGGCTACCACCGCGAGGCGGAACTGGATAGCGAGACTGAGAGCGCGCTGGCCGAGCTCTGGCGCAACTACAACACCCACAAGCTCGACTACGAGGGCCGCTGGCTGCTCTGGATCCACCAGCATTTCAACAACGGCTCCAAGAACCCGGAGCTGGGCACACTGACCCTCGAGCTGCGCCTGCGCTGGTCCGTCGTCAAAGTCGTCTTTTGGGGCGTCGTGCCCATCCTGCTGAGCCTGGCCATCGGCTTCTCGTACATGTACTCGGACCACGGCGAGGTCGACGACGTCGCGGTTGCGGAGGCCGCGTGGGTCATCGCCACGTATATCATCACAACGTCGGCCTGTAAGTTGGTTCCTCTCCCAGCAGAAACCTTGTCTTGGAAAAGGAGAGCGAAAAAGACTGACCTTTGAATAAACAGTGATCTTTGCACTTTTGGCCGTCATCACTCAGCTGGGGAATATTTGAACGGTCACGACTGTCCGCCTAGTGGCAAACTGTATACATTCGACTGCCATTGCCATTCTCTCACAAGTCGTAGTAACCACAGCGTGGTGAACTGGAGGACTACATATAGGGAGGGGGGTTTTTCAGTTATCCTTTACTGGAGAAGGGATAAGAGTGTTTTTTAAATGGGTGGGATCAGCACTTCAGTGTCCCCACAATCACTATGCTTAGCATCCGCCGAAAGCGAAGCAATCCAATCAGGTCGATCACACGGCTACAGTAGACGTACCTATTCGTACTCGTAACCGTCCTGAAGATCAGGGGCAACCCCAGACAACGTGGAGCAGGCGTGGCATCGTGGGCAAGACGAGGAGAAAGCAAATCCAGAAGCTCGGAACATTACTAGTGAGCCCGGACATGGAAACAAAACACCGTAGGATCAGAACATGGCTGGTGAACCTGGAAAGAAAAAAAAATGCGTATTCATCGTACACCTGTAGCCGAACAAGGGAACTTTCTTTTTTGCTTCTTCATCAGCCACAGTATCGAGACCGTCTCTCTCTGGCCTCAAAACGACCCGTCAAGGGGTATACATGTGTGTGTTTGTTTGTGTGTATGTGTGTGTACCTCTCTGTCACTCCCTAGGACCTCCTCCACCGAAGCCAGCCGCTCAAATCGACCAGCGGGAGAGTGATGGGGAACTCGACCGCGGCCAGCAGCAGCGCCAGCAGCAGATACCAGCCGGCGATGCAGCTGACGCCCAAGCTCGCGCCGGCGATGTACAGGGTGGTGCCGGCGCCGGCGCCGCCGTCGGCGAGCAGCCAGAATGTCGTGGTCAACAGGGTGAAACCCCAGAAGAGGCCGGCGAAGATGACGACGAAGACCAGGTTCGTGCGCAGCGCGCAGACCAGGTAGATCAGGCACAGCACGGCCATGAAGATCATGAAGAAGCCGAACGAGGCGTTGAAGCCCTTGCTCGCCAGCCCCGCCGTGAGGTCCTCCGGGTCGGGCGAGTAGGCGCCAAA